AAGCTGACGTGTAAAGATGACTTCACAGCAAATGCTGACCTGACTAATTATAGTTGGAGACCCAATAACACCTGATCCTAAAATTTATAGGAATGCCATTCCTGGTTGTGACACACACGAAAGGCACTTCCGGGAGCCCAAAAGCTGTGATGTATTTATGGCAAGACACTGTTTCACAACCCGACAGTCCCCCTTAAAACAGTTACATGACTAAAATTACAGCAGTGAACTAAACCTAGTAACTTATCTTTCCATTTGAAATGCTGTATACACTGTAGTCATCAAAATGTGATTTTGGTGCCATCATCAAGGTGTTTTCGTTGTTGTTGTTTTTGGCTTTTGGGTTGGTTGATTGGTTTACCTCATTTTTGGTTTTTCAAGACAGGGTTTCTCTGTTTAGCCCTGGCTCTACTGAAACTCACTCTATAGACCAGGCTGGCCTTGAACTCACAGAGATCTGCCTCCCTCTGCCTCCCAAGTGCTCAGATTAAAGGTATGCACCACCATACCCAGCAATCATCAAGTTTTGTTTTTTGTTTTTTTTTTTTTTTTTCTATTTTTTTTTCCTTCCAGAGCTGAAGACCGAACCCAGGACCTTGCATTTGCCAGGTAAGCGCTCTACCACTGAGCTAAATCCCCAACCCCAATCATCAAGTTTTTAATGTCACTCAGATCTCTTATGTGACCACAGAGATAAAGTATGATGATACAGAAAGTTAAAAAAAAAAAAAAACAGAAAAAATATATAGCTGTATTAGAGTGCTTGCTGGAGAGATGGCTCCATGGTTAAGAGCACTGGCTGCTCTTCCAAAGGACCTGTATTTAATGTCTAGCACCCACATGGTGGTTCACAACCATAGGTAACTCCAGTTCCAGGGGATCTGACACCCTCTCTTCTGGCCTTTACAGGCAGCAGGCACGCAAGTAGTGCACAGACTTACATGAACACTTCTACGCAATAATTATTTTTAAAGTGTAGCTGTGTTTGTTTGAAGAAATGCACAAACCTCATTAGTCTCATTGGGTGAACTTAGTGTGGTTCAAGTTTTAGGCTAAAACTGAAAATTTTTCAAAACTCATTTTGAAAGATTTTTTTTTTTACACGTGTACACGTTTTGCCTGCATGTATACAGGTGCACCACATACATGCAGTACCTAGGGAGGCCCGAAGAAGGCGGCGGTTCCCTGGAGCTGGAGTCAGAGATGGTCGGAAGCTGCCAGCTGGATGCTAAGTACCCAACTGGGCAGATGGAGGTCCTTTGCAAGATCAGTGGAACCCCGAGCCACCTCTCCAGGCCACCGTTAGGACATTTTTGTTTCCTTGTTTACTAGTCTGAATTTAAGCAATTTGTTATATTTGAATGTAAGCTCATATCTAAGTTAGGCATTGAAGGCTGGTGTTTCAGAGCTACTTAAAGCTTATTTTTATAGTAGTTGAAGTTATTAGATATAGCTAAAAATATTTGCATTACATTTTAAATCATTTGCTTTTACTGACGTTATAGTTTGCCTAAGTTATAAAGTATTTACTGTGGGTCTATACATGAAGTGATCTCGAATAATCAACAAACATTTTTAATCTACATGGTCATAGATTGACACAGATGGCATTTGATCTAAATACCAAAAGAATTAATATTCGTATTTCCAGGCATTAAAAAGCTCAAGCACTTATGGATTTTTCAATAATGGAAAATTATCTTGTATACTGAATGTTATGGTAATCTCTAGAAAATTCTCAAAATTGGAGAAATGAGTGTATCAATACACTAGACTAAAGAGTGAAGTTCTTATAAAAAAATTCACTAATTTTAATTTTCATTGCTAAACATGAAATCTTATACACAAAGGCTACTGATAAAGCTTGAAGATTTGAAGATTTAAGCTAAATCTAGTTAAATTCCTTTGGATAATTAATCTTCTAATATCTTACCCTTAGAAAACTCCCCTATATTTATCCAATATAAACCTAAGTCAGGAGAAATGAATAATTTCTATCATTATTTATATTCACCTGGACTTTCTAATAAATTTCCAAGCTCAAAAAAATTTAGTAATGTCTCTTCTAATATAAAATTTAACAAACATTTAAATACCATCCACAGAAATAATCTCTAGGCTTTTTTCAGCATAATTATCTATGGTGGCAATTAACAATACAGACGAGAAGCACTTGTCGGATCCTCAAGTCTCTTCCAAGCACAGTATGAGACATACTGCTTACACTCAAATCCTGAAGCATCATCTGAGTTGGTAATGAAATATTAAATAAAAAAGCTACTGCTCCATGATAAAGCTGTAGAACCTCAAATCTTACTGCTCCCACTTCTGTTTAGATGCCCCAAACACGATGTATCAACAGAGGCTACTGCTCACTCACGCTGCAGAAACAGCTAACACTTGTATGATTCTGCTGCATATGCTTGTTGGCCCACATTGGGTGACAATATACAGCCCTGTTTAAGGGCTTACAGAATGGTACAAAGGAGCTTTAGACCCTTGTAAAGCAACATTCAGGCTTCGCAAGGACAGCACCACTCCATCTGAGGCAGAGTTCTGAGCTGTAATGTATTAACAACAGCTCAGCCTTGCTGGTGTGGGAAAGGCCCATAATGACTAAGCCAGGTAGGCCCTGGCTTATCAGATTATTAAATGTATACCATCCTCATGCTTCTCCTTTTGCTACGGATAGTCAAAAACATTTCTTGGTTGATCAGCATGTTAAATGTTTTAGAAATCACTCTTCAAGACAAGTTAGAATGATTCAGCAACTAAATCTCAAATCCAAGAGCAAGAAATGCAGCTGATTTTCCCTCTGAAACAACCAAAACCTCACTCAAGAAAACCCACTAAGGTGGCCAGAGAACTCTAACTATGTGTCAACAGAGCAAATGCTGTGAAAATAATATCTGAAAAATAATTTAAGATAAACTGTATAAATCATGCCTACATTTTGTGATTTTTGCTGTTAATTTTCAGCAGGAATAAAGCAACCATGCTCATTAAATTTTAGTAAGTTCATAAGTAACACATTGCAAGAAGATACTATTTTTCTCAGTGTCCTTACCTTTTAGTTTTTCTTTATTATTATCTGTAAATAATAGCCTCTGCTCTATGCATTTTTACAGCATTTATCATTAACAGCTCGAATGAAACATTACAATATTATGGAATTAATCATTGTAACATGAGCACTATTTACTGTTTTAGAGGTACCCTCTGCAACTTCTTTCAAAGCTCTTTCTAGCCTCTTTGTTTAAAATTTCAGGGTATTTTTTGAAGGGTAGGAAAATGCATTCTGGAAGGGACACCAATTAAAAGTATTAGCAGAAATAAAAAGACTAATCCTTGTTCAGCATTTGGCAATATAAGATCATAATTAACGTTAAATAAAAATCCAAAAGCTAAACCACAGAATGCTAACAGTTCACACCCTGAAAATGTGGCCTATTTACCCTGAAGCATACAACCTAAAACTAAATACTGATAAAATACAGATATCACATCTCATATTCAAATTTTAAATCCTGAATTTTGCCAAACTGTCTCAATCATAGTCATTCCAAAAGCTATCTTATGTTTGAGAAAAATACCCTTTACCCTCTGATCTTCTAAAAATAGATTCCTACTGTCTTTTTTACAAAATACAGTTACGCTTGGTTATGAGCTCTGTCATATCAGCCATATAATCAACATCTAAATTTTTTTATTTAATCCCATTTTTGGAAATCAAAATAATAACTGAGTATTTAAAAAAAAAGTCTTACCTATGTGCTGCATGTCCTTCCAAATGCAAAATGATTAGCTTCCCCTTCTACTCAGCCAGTGCAGGGTCTGGACATGTCAGTGTGACTGGCAAGTCTCTGCTGTCCCTCTTAGGTCACAGCATCCGCAGGGCTACACAGCACTACTTACATTCTCTTCCACATAAAATCAGACATTACATGAAAGGAAGAGAAAGACAGCCCATTTCAAAGCAGCTGGCAAACCTCCACTGGCAACCTGCCAAGCCTCTGCTAAACCTTCCTGTCTTTCTGAGCATGCTCACTTAAAACCAACAGCACGTTACTATGGCAACTCTGTAGGCAGCCTGTAAGTATGAACCGCCATTCTGATTTCAGAGTGTAGAAAGCCAAATGCTGCAGGGGAAGTCAGAGGGAAGAACTAGCATACATTCTTCCTCACATACAAATCTAGCCGTGGTATTCCAAAAGCTCATGTGTGCATATGATACAGACAAAAGCACCTGACATTTTCAGGGCAAATTTTTTTCATGCTCCAATGGATGTTCTTTTTCTATAAACTCATGCTCTTTGTTTTGCCTCTCAACAACCAAAATTATACTAGAAAATTTATCTCACTTAACAAAACACCAGTGAATAAACACACACACCACCACGGCAACTCCACTTATGATTTCTGTGATCATATTGTGAACATGACACTATTATGAAGAAAACCACTCATGCTAAATACACAATCTAAATTTTTTTCCATTATTTGTCAAGCTGCTAGGAAAGTTTTTCTTTAGGTGTAATTAAGATATTAACCCCCTAAAATGTTTCCAAGTTATGAGAACCAAGACCTGGGTTCAAATTGCTCCGTTCCACATTCTAGGTATGTCAGCAAGGACAGTAACTTTCTGACTCTCACTGCATCCTGAAAGCAGGATAACAACAATTACTTCACCCACTGAGAATAAGTCAATACATAAAAATACCTGTGTCCCCCCCCCCCCCCAAATCTTGTTGATGATCTCTGAAAAGTACTTTTTGGTAACTTCACATTGAAAATTGATCCTGATTTGTATACTACACCACGAACCAATTAGCCACAACTTTCAACCAAATTAAGGTAAGATATGCTTCAGAAAAGAACAAACAATAGAGAATCTACACAGAGAGGAAATACATGGAGGTATTTCCAGAAGGAAGCAAAAAGAAAGAAAGAAAAGGAAAAAAGAAAAAGTTTCCAGGTTGCAAGCATGAAATTGAACCTACCAGCTCTTCTTCCTCCTTTTTGGCCTCCTTTTCCTTCTCCTCTTCATTTTCCTCAGCTGGGCACTCCTCATCATCACTGCTGGATGACTCAAGGATTTCACTTATATCCATTTTCCAATTATCAGGAACAATTCTAGCTTTTAGGAAGACGCTTGCTCTGCGCAGCCCTGAAATGAAATAAGAACTTCAGCGGCTGCTACAAATGAACAGCATGGCGTCCAGGGAGATGCATGCCACTCAGAGCCAGGAGGCTCGGCCCAAATCCAGCTATCACTCACAAAACGGTACAGGAAATCAGAGTGGATCATGAGTTAGAAGATCATGTAGACCTTATCACAAATCCTGTTGGAATTTAGGTCTGTTTACTGCTGTGAGACAGATATGTCACTATGTGGCCCAATCAAGCTGGAACTTGGGATCCTCATGCTCCTACCTCCTAAGTGACATCAAGCCTGGCAGAGATTACAAATGGCCTTTTAGGAAAAAAGATTCATTTTTATTTTATGTGTATGGGTACATATATTTATGTGCACACTTGACTCAATCAGTGCCATTAAATCCCCTAGAACTGATTGCAGATAGCTGTGAACTGCCATGTGGGTGCTAGGAACCAAATTTGGGTCCTCTGCAAGAGGAGTAAGTGCTCGTAACCACTGAGCCGTCTCTCCAGCCCTACTTCTAGAAATATTAAGGGTCATCCAGGTGTGGTAGCACACGACTTTAACCCCAGCACTGGGAGGCTGAGGCAGGCAGATCTCTGTGAGTTCAAGGCCAGCCTGGTCTACAGTGTGAGTTCCAGGACAGCCAGGGCTCTGTAGACAGACAACCCTTTCACACCCCTCAAAAAGAAGAAATATTAATGACCGAACATGCAAAGTTAAATTTGTAAAATTGCCAGGTGTGGTGGCACACACCTGTAGTCCCAGCACTCAAGGAGGCAGAGGCAAGTGGATCTCTGTGAGTTTAGAGGCCAGCCTGCTCTACAAATCAAGTCCAGGACAGCCAAGGCTACACAGAGAAACCCTGACTGGAAAAATAAAAATTCATAAAATTCATAGACTAAACATTTTTTTGCACCATTAAGTTGGAGCAGTCATTCAGGTGTATCTGTGAGGTGTGTACTCAAACCATGCAGGGGAGCAACATAAGTAAGGCAAAGCAAACCCACACATTCTAAGTTAATGCCTTTGCACTGGGCCACAGCCCATGGACCACAGGCTGGACACAGGATGCCACACAGTTAACATGGTCACAGAAGAGGCAGTATCTTTATTTTACATGTACAGTCACACCATGAAATAATATGCTGGCTCAGCTTTCTTTTACCTGGCTTCGCGCAGAGCTCAGATTCTGGTAGACTGAAGATGTCTAGCTCCTTAATGTCCTTTCTTGCGATAGAGTAACTGTGAAAGAGAACAAAATAGGAAGAACTACTTATTAAATGAAAATTTATAAGCAGTCCACGTTAATTCTACATAAGACTTCAAAAGTAAAAATTATTTTGTCAAACAGTGTTTTAAAAGTCAAAGGCTATGAATACTCTGATGCTTAGTAAAGTCTTAGAGGCAATGCAGGCAAAGCCAGTATCTTTTAAGTTTCATGTACTCAATGTACTCTTAACTGAAAGCATCAAGTTCACAATATTTCCAAATACACAACCTTCCTATAGACAATCGTTTCTACAATACAGTCATTTCAATACTTACATATAACAACTATTTTGTTCAGTATTTCCTAATTTTTGTTAATTTTTTAAAATAACAAATTTTCTTGACTGCCATATATATTATGGTATACCTTCACAGAGAATAACTTAATAAACATATAATTTTACTGTTTTCTTTGTAGAAAAACAAAATTGAAAGTTTTTAAAAGTCTGTTTTTTTAAAATAAAAAGTAAAAGTAACTATTCTACTAAGTCTATTAAAGTTTCATAATACATAAGAAACAGCATATGATAAAAATACAGAATTATCCAATTAAAAGAACTATATATACTTTATTTACCAATAAGTATGTCTTTAATCCTGTTCTCCCTTACTGTTGAATTTTTACATAAAATGTGTCAGCTACAAGTACCCTACATAAGAACCTAGACCACAGTGCATAACAAGTTCTCGCTTCCACCCTGAGGGGCTGCCTCCAAGGCAGGCGGCCAGTCACTGTGTCCCATCCCCAGGAATTGTTACTCACAATTTAGAATCAATAAATGAGCGAACTAAACACTGATCCTTTCTCACTGTGACGTCATCATTGCAGCTGGGAGAGATGACCTGGAATATAAATTCAGAATCGACTGACTCCTCTTATCTATTCACTATTTCCCCTGTGCCCCGCCCCCAGTTCTAAGTAACCAAACTCAAGGTCTTACATTCGATAGGGAAGCACTCAGCCACGGAGTTAATCCCCTAAACAAGAGCGTTTGCCTTCCATTATGTCTATTCATTTCATTGTGAGTGGCGTAGGGAGAGTTCGGGTTTTCGCTGGTGCTCATGAAGAGCTCACACTACAACTGGGAAGACCTGGTTCTCTCCTTTTACCAGCTCAGGATGTGAGAGTTAGTGTCAAGCTAACTCCTGAGCCATCTCCTGAGCCATCTCACCAGGCCTGAGGGTGTCATTTCCGAACTGACTTGGGGGCTGGGGGACCTGGGAGAGAGCTCAGCAGCTGAGAAGACCCAAATGACCCAGGTTCTGTTCCTGGTACCCACATGATGGCTCACAGTTGTCTGTGACTGAGCTCCAGAAAACCTGACACCCTCTTTTGACCTCTGGAAGTGCTAGCCACCCAGTGGTGCACAGACATACATGCAGGCAAAACACCTCATACACAAAGAGAGAAAGTAAAACAAAATGAAAAATGAAAAAAATTAAAAAGCAGGTGTGGTGGCGTAAGTCCCAGCACTCGGGGAGGCAGAGGCAGGTGGATCTCTGTGAGTTTGAGGCCAGCCTGGTCTACAAAGTTAGTCCAGGACAGCCAGGGTTCTGTTATACAGCGAAACCCAGTCTTGAAAAAACAAAAATAAATAAATAAATGAATGAATGGATAAGGAAATTTCTCAATCTGCTAATGTCTCTAATAGATTGTATTTTAGAAAAAATAGCTTAATTGCTAATAAGTCTTATTACTAACAAATTACAAAAAAAATTCATTACTTTTATCATATTGGCTTTCGAGATAGTTAACATAGTCATTAGGTAATACGAAGTAAATGATGAAATATAAATTAAAATACTATTGCTCTAAAACTTAGGGCTTGTTCTAACCTAGATACAACTTTCTAGTGCGCTTAATTGTTTGTGTGGGAGGGCACAGCATGTCTCACAGCATCCTGTGAGGGACAGATGACCACCTTGTCATCATTTTCTCCCTCCCCCACGAGGGTCCTGGGGATCAAACTTCAGCCCCAGGCACCGGCACCTTTAGTGTGGAACTATCTTGTTGGCCTAAGACTTCATCTTGTATCTCAAGCAGTAACATTTATGGATATACGGTCCGTACTTTATCTTAAGATAGGGACTCGTATAGCCCAGGCTGGCCAACGATGATTCCCTCTTTCCCAACAGCAGCGACTGCAGGTGTGAGACAGCCCAGGTGCCAATGTAGGACCTGAGATGGAAACTTGGCACATTACAGCTTTTTTTCTTTTTTTAAACTTTGTGGTGAGAACACTAGCATTTTTTTTTAATTTTATTTTTTATTTTATGTGCATTGGTGTGAGGATTTCAAATCCCTTAGAATTGGGAGTTGCAAACAGTTGTGAGCTGCCATGTGGGTGCTGGGAATTGAACCCAGGTCCTTTGGAAGAACAGACAGTGCTCTTAACCACTGAGCCATCTCTCCAGCCCCATACAGCTTTTTCTTAATTGGTGATGAGGGGTTTTATTTGTTTGTTTTGAAACAGGGTCTCACTGTAGCTTTGGCTAGCCTGGAAATTGTTCTGTAGACCAGGCTGGCCCTCTAATTCTGTGATCTGACTCCTTCCACCTCCTGAGGGCTGCGATCAAGGGCACATGGCACTGATACGTTTTGCATTATTTTTCAATCGTGTGTGCACATGCATGCACTCACAGAGAGATGGGGCATCTTTGGGTGCTGGGAAGCCCCTAGTGTGGGTGTTCTGCAGGCTGGTCCTCTGCAAGAGCAGCACATACCCTAATATCACTGACACATCACTCTGGCCCTTCATTTTTAAAAATACACCTTAGTATGCGTATTTTAAAATCTGGCTATTAAAAACCACGTAAGATCTTTTTTAACAGGGCATGAACAATTTTCAATTCATCATAGAACAACTGAAGAATTTTTTAATCTAGCCTTGAAATAAAAGCGCCTTAAAAGTGTGAAGAGTAAATAATTTCTGAATACTGTATTAGTGCTTTGTATCTAAAAGAACCGAGGTGAGTGGGTGGCATGCTCCTGGAGCTGCCGAGGCATTCCTATTCTTGACACTCTTCATACTTAGCAAACCAGAGCCTTGGACGCTGTAGGCCAACGTTCTAACTCAGAATGACACCCCGGCTCCCAGTTCTATTTTTTGTAATTACCATGAGTAACAACATATAGTTTAAGAGTGCCATATTCAACACTATAGAGCCAGATTTTTAAATATTCTTAATTAAATTTTCAATGTTTTCTGGTGTTTTTTATTTCTCTATTTTTGAGACAAGGTCTCACTCTAGAGACCTCATAGATGCACCTGACCCTGCCTCCAGTGTGCCCAGATTAAAGGTGCACCCCACCACGCTGGGCTGGATTTTTAAATGTTCTTATTTAAAAATAAAATAAAAACCTGTTTCAATTCTGGCACAAGGTCTCGTGTAGAGCGGTCTGCTCAGACCCTGCTGTGTAATAAGGAGGGTGACCCTGCACTCTCAGCACTCCCTCAAGCGTCAGGGTCACAGGCGCGGCCACACCTTAACACCACATACAAATACTTGTCTGGTGGGGGCTGGGTCCTCGTAGCTGCCAGGTTAGGGAGACGGCCCTGCTTGCCGTTTCAGTGTAACAGTGAACACTGTAACAGACAGGCAAAGCTACGGAACACAAGGAAGAACACACTGTGATGGAGTGCACACGAGGCTCAGGACAGTGCTGAAGGACCTGGGCCCAGCTGGCCAGAATAGGCGTGGCAGCAAAGGCCTAAAGGAGGAGTAAACATAAGCCTAAGCCTCATGACACCACGCTGAGCCGCTCTAATGGCCTCCATATTGATTCTTGTCATTTCCAGCCTAACAAGGGAGCAAACAAACTGTCTTAGGAACATTCCCCAACATGCAGCACAAATGTCACTCTTTTTCAGAACTAGCTGCGGAATTATTTCCTGATTTTCAGACGATCTTTTGAAAATCCTTCTGCCTCAGGAGTCAATTATATTTGCAGCTGTAGGCTCTGCCCCTGCCCATCTAATGTCAGCCAAAGAGGGTTCCATAAGATCAATACCACTCAGCAGTCTTTCCTCCCAAACAGCCTCTACTGCTCAACTGTTCTCACTCCTGTGTATACGAAGAAGACTGCCATTTCTGAAACTTTAAGAATCTAAAGCGCATCTTTCCTTTCTATTACCTTCTTATTCTAGCTCATGTTCTGGTACTAAAAGTTACTATAGCTTTCTTTCTCTCTCTTTCTCCCTCCACCTTCTTTCTTTTTTTTCAAGACAGGGTTTCTCTGTATAGCCCTGGCTGTCCTGTTAGCTCTGTAGACCAGGCTGGTCTCAAAGTCAGAAACCTACTTGCCTCTGCATCCTGATTTCTGGGATTCAAGGCGTGCCCAACTACACTGGGCTTGAAAACCTTACTATATAATGTGTAACGCAGTGTATAACATGTGCAGAGTGCGTGTTCTTGAGAGTGAAATACTGGAAGCGGCATCCTCTACTGTCTCTCTCTCTGAGGAACTTAAACCACAGGCAAACTAAACTCACCGCTGTCCTGAGCTAACGGCCATTACCTGAGCGTGGGTAAAGGTGTGCAGGTCTGCAGGGCTGTGTGACGTAGGGGTGGTGGGGAAGGCAGCTCAGTGGAGGACTGCCTGCCTAGCATGCAGGACGCCCTGGCTGTGACCTCCCATGCTGCACAGAACTGGGTGCAGCCGGACACACCTGTGTTCCTAGCATCTGGGAGGTGAAGGCAGGAGGACCGGAAGTTCAGTCATCCTAGGCTGTATGCCCATGCCTGTACATAAACCAGCCTGAACTACGGGAAACCTGGTCTCAAAAATAAGAAAGCTGAAGGGAGTTCATGGTGAAGGAGTCGCTGGCAATCTTTGCAAGAACGTGAAATTACCTAAGTACACTAAAACGAGGATTAACTGACTGAAAGGTTAAGGTTTCCTGGGGGATGTGGATGCACACGGATGTGCGGATGCGCAGGGCTGTGTGCTGCACGTGCCCATGCATGTGGGGAGGCTCAACCAGGTGGCAGGTGGCTTGTAGCAGGCTCCAGGCACTGCGAGGCCCTGGGGCAGGGTCCCCACCTAACTGACGCTTTTTTGCCTTTTGGCTGCGCTGGCCGGACAGGAAGCTTTCGAGTCTGTGTGTCTCAGGGCTGGCTCTGGGCCCTGGGCTTTCGAGAGCTGGCCCTCAAGTGCTCTTACCAGCTCACCCTCCCCCACCCCCAGTGCCCTGTTCTATTTCTCACACAAGTTCTATGTTACACCACCTTGTCTCCACCTCCTGGGTCGAGGCAACTTCCTGTTTTGGACCCTGGAGAAGACAGAACTATAGCCAGGCTGCAGCACATGTGACTCCAGTGTTGAGAACGGGAGTACTATGAGATAGTCAATTACTGTGAAATGATCTCTCCTAAAAACTTAGTTCTAGGCAATTAATCTGAATGTAGTAGAGACAGAATAAGGAGCCAGACATTGTGGTTCAGATCATAATCCTACAACAGAAGAGCCTGAAGCAGGAGGATTGCTATGAATCTGAGGCCAGCCTGAGCTACATAAATAAGTTCCTGGGCAGCCTGGATACAGAGTGAGACAAACAACAACAAAAAGAATTAAGGAATCAACATACAGGAACTGAAAATGTAAAACGGTAGTTATGACAGAATGAAGAGCACATTTTCAGGAAAAACCTGAAACATCCCAGTAAGTCATAACAAAGAATGGAAATTGAAGATGATGACGACAAGTCTCTGTGGCCCTGACACTGTCTTAAGTTTTAAACATACAATACAATCATTAAATTTGTAAAACTTCCACAGTATTTGAAATACGTTTTTAAAATACATTGTCTACAATCAGCCGAGGCGCTCTGCAGTGACACTCACCAGAGCAGGGCAGCATTCGCAGCTCTCCGCCGTGGATGGCACGCTCACAACTTTCCCCAACAGGTCGTCGTTGAGACGCCGCTTGTCCTCGTCCTCCTCCTCGCTGCTTTCTTCTTCCTTCTCGTCTTCAGTGCTAAGAGTCAGAAGAACCTGGTCATTAGCCAACCACAGCCCACAGCCGGGAACACTCGGAGTACTACACCGTCCACATGTTCATGGCTCCCGTGGCTAGAGCTCCATTCTCACCAGGCTGAGGAGATGGCCACTCTCCTGCCTCACACGACTACTCAAGCCACGACGGTAAGTAACTCCTGCGTTCCCTTCACTCTGTCAGTGAATACCTGGACTCCGTTCCCAAGCCAGGACAGAGAGGCAGAAGCCTAATTGTATCACCAAAGGAAAATTTCAAAACAAGATACCTTTCTGTTTTTAATGCCAGAGGCCAAATAATAATGTAAGCTTAATTTTCCAGTGGGCTATGAAAATAGCCCAGAAAAGACACATGAGGGGTTTATTCAGATAAATTAGCTGGGATAACTGTTTACTTTTAAGTGTCTACAACAGGTGTTAATTATTAAGTCTATACTTTATAAACAAAAATGAGTGTGTATTTTCATTTAAAATCATAGTGATTCTGAATCATTATCAGTGCTCCTGAAGCATCCTAAATATACTGACATCTTTAATTCACTAGGATATACAGTGCTGTTAACTACTGAATGATCTGGAGGCATTTGTTCCCTGATCTTTCTGCATTTTTATTTCTTCTCTCATAGACCTGCTGCCTAGGAATCACCACACGACTTTCTTTACTCTTCTGCATGACTAAGTTTATCTTAAAAAAAAAAAAAATTCTTATTTATTATGGATACAACATTCTGCCTGCATGTATGTCTGCAGGCCTAAAGAGAGTACCAGATCTCATTACAGATGGTTGTGAGCGACCATGTGGTTGCTGAGAATTGAACTCAGGACCTCAGGAAGAGCAGCCAGTGCTCTTAACCTCTGAGCCATCTCTCCAGCCCCTTTATCTTTATTTCTAACACTTCTACTTGCTTATTCAAATGTCCTGTGCTGAAATACCAGCTCACTCAACTTACTAAAAATTATAATTATTAAAGACTACAATATTATGCAATGAATAAAAACACCACACAGCATTAATGGCTTATTAAATAAATATCATACGCTGAGCACTTGCTACACGCTGAAAAACACATAGGACACTATCTAATCCAAACTGGCAAGACATCATCCATCCCGCTGACCTCAGCCATTCACTAGGAGAGGATCTTGTACTGCACGGGTGTGTAATAGCATTAGGTAACATAAATGTGTAATGAAGTGACACAGCTACAAAGTGGCTGAACTGAGACTTCCATTAAGGGACTTCCAGGGTCTTGTCTTTTCAGTTTGCAACCTATGTGCTGGACATGTATGTGGCCTTTTTACAGAGACAGTCCTTTGCTGTAAGCTCTTCTGGCAGTGACACAGACAAACAAGCAGCATCTGGGTATTGGTTCTAAACATTTACATCCCAGTGAAAGGAACAAAAATCCCTGGAGAAATGGCAATATCATGGTCTGATGCTGGAAAAGAAGATCATAAACTCCTGACACTGTGCAGTGCATTACTTGGTTCTCTTCCTCCATCAGGCATGGTAGCAAGTGCCTCTAAGCCACCTTGCTGGACCCGGAAGATTTTATTATAGCTACAAGAACTAAGTAACAAACTGAAGCAGGAATGAAAAATTACAAAATCATCATGTTTCCATCATTACAAAAGGGGTCTCACTGACTGATTAAAAAAAAAAATGGAAAGAATGATAACTTGACATGGACATATCTAGTAGCAAAGAAGCTCCACACAGATTCTCCACTTAGCCAGGGAGAAAAGGTAACTAAGAGAAATTGGGCAGGCACATCATGAACTAGTTAATCAAAGGTAATTTTATCAACTATGGCACAAGCTGATGGTATGCATCTAGTGATATACTTGTACGGAAAAGGACACACATCATTTACTATCAAAAATGTAATCTACAAATAAGAAACACCCGAGGACGAGCATGCTGGCACAGGCCTTTAATCCCAGCACCCAGGAAGGCAGAGGCAGGCGAATCTCTATGACTATGAAGACAGCCTGGACAGCCAAGGCTACAAAGAGAAACCCTGTCTCGAAAACCAAAAACAGAAACAAAACACCTGAAAAATCTGCATTTGCCTACACTCTTGGCAGTCTCATGAAAAGCTAAAAATCTAAAGAACTGTTTCCAGATTAACGGGAACTCATGAGGCACATCAAGGAAACGCAGCACATGAACATGACCTTGGTTTGGGTCCTGAAAAGATGCTCTGAAGACACCTAGGACAACGGGTGGACCTTGAAATGCTGACAGTGTGAGGTAACAAGATTCCACAGGGTGAACAGTATGTGCCAGAAACAGCAGGCCTGACCCAGTACCTTAGAACATGAGGCAAAATAATCATAATTTGACTGTGGCTGCATATTTTACATATATGAAAGTAAATTTTTGGATTATGATATCAGTATTTTACATAAGGGCAAAGGATTATGATGCTCTCTGCTTCCTTCCACATGGCTCAGTAAAATTAAAATAAAACTAGAAGCTAATTATAACATGCATATATAAAAGAAACGCAAAAATAAGGGAAGTAGGCCAGAAATACTGAAAACTGTTTAATCTAGACAAAAAAAAAAAAAAAAAAAAACCATAGAGAAACCCTTTGTATTATTATTTTTAAGTTTAATATTATTTTTAAGCCAGGTGGTGGTGGCACACAGTTAATCCCAGCCCCCAGGAGGCAGAGGCAGGCGGATCTCTGAGTTTGAGGGCAGCCTGGTCTACAGAGCAAGTTCTGCCAGGGTTACACGGAGAAACTCTGTCTCAGAAAAAAACAAAACAGCAACAACAAAAAGTTGTTTTTAAATAAAATTATTAAAAACTACAAGTAATTACTTAGTAATGAAAAATCATGCCAAATAAAGATTCTATCAAAGCAAATTGAAAGTCTCTTGGTAAATGGGATTTTGATAATGCATGGGGAAAGTAAATGAAGGAATGAAGAACAAAGTGTGCTGAGGGCAGAATGCCCACCTTAGAACATGCCATGGAAACATGAGCCAACAGACATTCTGGGAAAGTCAATGGCGGCAGGCCTCGACACCTGCACTATATTAACCAAATACAAGAACTCACATAGGAAGTGAAGACCTCCTCCCTCTGTTTGTCTTCTTTGCAATGACTGGCGTTCCAAAGTGTTCTGGGTTTGTTAAGGGAAGCTGGTCAAGGGTCTGCAGAAGAGACAACAGAATTCATTTCACATTCACTTCCCCCTCAGTCACCATGGTTCAAATCACCGCCTGCAACCATACCTCACTCTCGGCAAAATGTCTCTCCCCTTTCAGGCAAAGTGAGGTCCGCCTCAGAGTTTTCTCGTCGCCATCATCAAACACTGCAGGAAGCAAAAGATGTCTAAGAATTTGTGCACATCAATTCAAAAGCTAATCAAATGTAAACGATGCTATCACTGCTGTCTCAGAGCTGTGGTGGTCTGAACAGGTTGGCTCCCGCAGATTCTCAAAGACTCATGCTTGAATGCCTGGCCCACAGAGAATGGCACTACTGGTTGCTGTGGCCTTGCGAGAGGTAAGTGTGTCACTCTGGAGGTGGGGCTTTGCGGTCTTAAGTGCTCAAGCTATGCACAGTGTGGTACTTGATCCTGGCTACTGTAGGTTCAAGATGTAGAACTCTTGGCTCCTCCAGCACCATGTCTGCACAGCTTCCTGTCATGATGATAATGGACTATACCTCAGAAACTGTAAGCCAGCCCCAATTAAATGTTTGCCTTTATAATAGTTGCCATGGTCATGGTGTCTCTTCATACTAATAAAACCCCAAGATAGAGCTTAATACTCCTTATTTCTTAAGATATTTTCAAATGAATATACCACAGTTATTGTTTTATAGATGTCAAACAAACACAGTTAAATGGCTGTCCCTGGAACTCTTTAAGTATCCCCACTTGCTTTCCAGTGTCTACGCTACAGAATCATCTTCTTAACTCAACGGTGACCTAGTCAAAGCACAAATATAAAATTTCCTTGATCCTAGACTGAATAAAAGCTGGTATCTAAAAACCAAAGTGTATTCTGCACAGTTAATTAGGAAGTACCTCTACTTTCTCCAAATGTCTGATTTCTTCCTTTATTTTTCAGGTTTCTTGAAATGGGGTCTCTCTATATACCCCTGGCTGTCCTGGAATTCACTGTGTACACTAGACTAGCCCTGAACTCCCAGAAATATCTTACCTGCTCATGCTCTGTGTCTGATTTCTGATAATGATGATAGATTATGTTATTTTTTACTTATTTGCTCACTAACTTCTTAAACTAGAAGCAATGGCTGCCCGATTCTAAAATTTTCATAATGCAAGTTTTTTTTTTTTTTTCTTTTTCTTTTACTAGAAAACAACAAATGGGGCTGGGGAGATGGCTCAGTGGTTAAGAGCACTCAAAGGACCCCAGTTCAATTCCCAGCAACCACATGGCAACTCACAACTGTCTGTAATTCCAGTTCCTAGGGATCTGACACCTTGATACTAATGCACATAAAATTAAATAAATTATTTCAAAAAAGAGAAAACAACAAATGTAAAACAATGCAAAAAAATAAAAAAGATCTTAAACCTTCAGTTATTTATTCACTGTGTGTGAGTATATGTGCACCATGGCATGCGTGTGAAGGTCAGGGGACAGCGTGAGTTAGTTCTCTCGTTTAGTGTACGGGTCTGCAAAACTGACCTCATGTTGTCAGGCTTGGCAGCAAGCACTTGTCATTCCAGGCCAGTCTAAGCTACACAGCAAGACTCCTGACAACCACATCTAAAAAATAACACGATGAAAACCTAGAAACTTCTTGAAAGTTTCTATATCCACGACATTAAAAAACAATCATTAAATATGCATGTTTCAAGAAATCCAAGTAAGAAATTTCATAATTTATCCCTATTTTTCAAAAACCTAACTATACTATTTGATGATCTTAAATGTTAAGTTTTCAAAATGTATCAATAATTAGAGTATATTAAAGAGTAAATGTTCTTTGCTGGGTACAGTGGCATACACCTGTGATCCCAGAGGCTGGCAGACCTCTGTGAGTTCAAGGCTAGCCTGGTCTACAAAGCGAGTCAAGGTAAGCCAAGGCTACACAGAGAAACCCTGTCTCGAAACACCAAAAAAAAAAAAAAAAAAAATTAAAACATAAATGCTCTCAGATGGCACTTAATTGCCCAGAATTACGCAAAAATAAAATACAAACATAAAATCCTTACTTCAAATAGTAAATGAATCATCATTAAAAAGTAGGTATAATTTTATAAACAATGCTCACGGGAAAGCCCACATAAGCTACAATGATTACCTTTAGTCATCACATCATCCCAGCAAAGGGGAGGCTGAGGGAGGAGCCTGAGCAACATGATGCATTCTCAAAAACAAACAAAACAAACAAAAACAAAAACAAAAAAACAAACACCTCCAAACAAAATTTAAAAAAAAAAAAAGGTCATCAAAAACAGCCCAGGTGGTAAAAGGCAGGTGCTGAGAAAGCGTTGACAACCTGACTGTGGTCCCCACACTCCACAGTGGGGGTCTTACTTAGTAAGCCATAGAACTAGCCCATCTAATCTGTTCCTAAGGAGGTACACAAGGTGTGCCAGCTCCAGCCTGTGACCCTGGTCCGGAACTGTTTTGCAAGACGCATAAACAGGATGCTGAGATACAAGGATGACCAGAAGAGTCGGGGCAGCCTGGGCTGCATAGTGAGAGTCTCATAACAAATTCACACACACCTCGCAAAACACATCCTTTACAAAAAGAGTCCCAGTTTTCATAGAAGACAGAATAAATTGATATAACATCTTACAGTTAAAACCCTGACTTTTATCCAGGTGTGGTGGAGCATGCCTTTGATTCCAGCACTTAGGAGTCACAAACAGGCGGTCTGAATTAGGAGCCAGCCTGGTCTATACAGTGAGTTCAAGCACAGCCAAGGCTACATGGAGAAACCTTGCATTGAAAAATCTTGAATGAATGAAGAATGAATGAATAAAAATAAAATCCTGACTGGTTTCTTTTGGGACTTTGAGACAGTCTCTCTACATAGTCCTGGTTGTCCTAGAACCTGCTCTGTAGACCAAATACCTGTCTCTGCCTCCCAAATGCTGGGATTAAAAGCACGCACAACTATGCCTAGCCTCTGACTTTTTTTTTTCCTGAGACAGTGTTTCTCTATGTAGCTTTGGCTGTCCTGAACTCACTTTGTAGCCCAAGCTGGCCTCGAACTCACAGAGCTCTACCTGCCTCTTCCTTGCCTCCCTGAATGCTAGGATCACAGTTGTGCACCACCATGCCCAGCGGCATTTTTTTTAAATGGCTGTTACTAGCAAGTATTTGCTTCAAATCATACACTTACTCTTAAATAAAGCTGAAGAAATGTATATAAAAGACAACCTACATGTTCAATATTTAGCTACTTCAAACAGTTCTTCCTCTGAGAAGAAATATATTTACCTAGTTGAAATTATTTTGCATGCAAGGGACATCTTAAAGAAATGAAAAGCTCCTAACACTTTCTCACAGGTAAGCAGCCACGCTGTGTCCTATTTACGAGACAGACCTGAATGGCTGCCTGCAAATGCAATGATCAGACCCACAATGACAGCAAACAACATGGTGGCCTAGGGCTGTGATCACAGTGCTCAGGAGGCTGAGGCAGGGGAATCATGGGTTCCAGGCCAGGCTAGGCTATACAGTGTACTTGAGAAGGAAAGGAGGGAGAGGAAGGTAGAAAGGACAACAAAACCCTCTGCAGTGTCAGTGACATCACTGATGTGTGCATTATTGTCCATAATATGTGTGTCAAGTTATAATCTAGAGCCTGCCCACAAAGCGCAGCGGAAGAATGCAGTACAAGAGAGCAGTACAAGGTCCGGAGCTCACTCCCCAGTGTGTGCGACGGGGATGGGAGGAGTGAGGGGATGTATGCCGTGCAAGAAGGCATATGAACAAATGAACGGACCACTTTTTTCACAGAAAATTCCAATCCTTGACCTCACAAACCAAACAATAATTCTCCATGCATTTGTGTCGAGATACAAGCTACTTTGAAGAAAAAAAATCAAGCCAGGCATGATTTTAAATCAAACCTTTAATCCCAGAACTCAGGAGGCAGAGACAGGCAGATTCTGTGATGTTAAAGCCAGCTTAGCCTACTTAGGAAGTTCTAGGACAGTCAGAGTTACATGGTGAAGCACTGTCTCAAAACACGCGCACGCACACACGCACGCACGCACGCACGCACGCACGCACGCACGCACGGATCCGGTTAAGATCCCTGGCTGGTCTTACAATGGACTCAGGTTTAGTTCCCAGAACCTACATGGTGGCTCACAACTCCAGGTCCAGGGGACACAGTGCCTTCTGACTACTGTGGGCACCAGGCGTGTACATGGTGCACATACATACATGTAGACAAGACAGTCATACACATAAACATGTAAGTTCTAAAAAAATTAAGACCACCTGGCCCTAATAAATTTACATAAAAATATTCTCCATAGTGTTTTATTGATCATCAGTGGAAACCCTAGAATGCTCCAATGAAGAAACTTTAACAATGTTCTCCTTAATTCTTGTTTGATAAATAACCACTTTGAAATAAAGCTGTACTTTTGTTGAAAAAAACTCATTTTGTTTCATATCCATTATGGGTTGAAAAAACTATTAAAAAACAAAGGGATTTGTGATTGTTAATTTTTAAAAACTTTTATTTTATGTGTGTAGGTGTTTTGTTGGCATGTGAATGTCTGTGCACCGCAGTTATGCCTGGTGCCCATGGAAGCCAGGAGGACATCAGATCCCCTGCGTCCAGGCTTACAAACAGCTGTGAGCTACCATGTGGGTGCTAGGACTCAAACCCTTGGTCCTCTGGAAGAGTAGCCAGTGCTTTTAACCCCTGAGGCATCTCTCCAACCCCAAGGAGAATTTCCTGAAAGGGACTGGGGTACGAACAGCTACCTGGTCATCTTCAACAGGAACCTTCTAGTGAGCAAGGAGAAACAGGTTAAGATTCTAATTTCAGCACTCAGGAGGCAGAGGCAGGCTGAGCTTTGTGAGTATAAGACCAGTCTGGTCTACACAGAGAATTCTAGACCAGCCAGGGCTGCCTAATAAGACCCTGTCTTAAAAGATATTTTAATTCAAACTATACAAATGTATATAGCTGAGTACTTTCTACACTTGTTAGTGAGTGTTAAGGTTTTTCTGAAAGCCATGGAGAGCACAATAACATAATGGATTTTCTAATCCTGACATCTCCATTGTCAAACCCCTAAGAGCAGCTCTAGCTATCGGTGACGTGAGAGCCAGAGCTTGGCAAACTGAGGCAGAAGAC